GAAGCTGGAACTCATCGGCTGGAAAACATATATACATATATCTATATATATGTATGTACATACATATAAACATGTATCCAATATATATTATTCAGTATTAATCATTATTTATTTGTGCCATTATTAATCTTTATTTATTAGTGTTTGTATAGTTATAAATATATATTGATATTACTAAATAATTTATTAAATACATTATGAATGGCTGTGTGCTTTGTAATATGCTCTTCATACATCGATACCAGAATATTCCATTCCTATTCTATTTTTATAGCCACTAAGCATATTTAAATATGATGAACTATGTATTAAAAACATACTTAAAAAATACAATTGTTTATAAATGTTGCTTTGATAGATGTTTGAATATGGTTTACAGTAACAAAAAAGTGTGTTATGATCGATTAAATCCGCTGATACGTCATTGTGCCTGCTAAACACATAACGCTGAGTGGAGTGGAGTACCGCTCCAAGATGGCCGCCCTAAATCTCGTCAGCGACAATAGGCGAGAGCGGTCCATGAGGGTCTATCCTTATATTATGTCTATGGTGTGAGTATTGGGACAGGGTCTACGTGTTTATGTCTATGAGTTTGAAACAGTTCCTGTATTGGTCACGTGACTTTCTTATAGCGATATGCACACTGTCGCATGCGCCGACGCGTTGCCGGACCCATCACTGCTTCCTGTTGATCGTACCGGGAAGTTCACCTCCCTGAAAGCAGGATACCATTTCTATCTCTCTGCCAATTGCTCCATCAGTCTTTTGGATCTCTAATATGACCGCTGCTCTCGTTCTAACCTCTGGAATTATCATCATCCATTCACCACACCGGACTCTGGCTGTTTCCCCCTAATGTACCACTCAGATCTATTCAAGAGTAAGTACAGTTATTCTGCTTTATCCCTCTTTGATCATCTCATTTCTGGCTGTCATTAATACCACTTTCTTTCCAGACGGAACTGTTCCCATGACCTTCCCACTCCAGAAAAACAAGAAGATCTTTTAACCTGTACAATCTGATCTTAATTTGAAAATAAATACAATTTCTTTATGTGGCTTCTCGTATATGATTCTACATGTGGGTTAGAAAATTAAACCAGAACATGCCATTTTCACTGTCTCAACTTGTTTGGAATCATAGTTGGCAGATTTTGAACTTTCAAACTTCCCCATATTGCTTCTTTGACTCAAACGTTAACTTTCATTGAATGTTATTTTTCACCTAAATATTTGAAAGAGCCTTTATGAACAATCTTCTTATGATATCAAAGTAGAATAGTCTCCATTTTCTTTCACCTGCAACAAAAGGTCTGTGGAATTATACTAGTGTTTTTGCTTCTCCATTGTCGTCATTTATTTACAAACTGCAGTATAATTAGGTCCTCCCACTGTAAGCTCATTGTAGTGTTTTTAATTTCCCCACTCAGATGATATGTAGTGTTTCTCTGACAGTTGTCCTCCTGTCCAACCTTCAGCTGTGACCGCTCCCTCAGACACAGCACTTCCATGGAAATGTTGTAAGAGCACCTCTTTATTTTCCCCCTAACTCAACTTTCTGTAACCAAACACAAACCTACTGACCCGATTAAAGTTCTTCACTTGACATCAAAAATTTCAGCTTCTTCATGATTAGATGACTTAACCTCTTCAAATCTGTATTTTGCCTTATTTAACAGTCTTGTCCTAACTTGTTGGGTGCTATTAACATTTTATATAGTCAGAGGTTCGTCAAAATAAGATTAATGAAAGGCTAAGGCAGGGTGAGGACTGGTAACATCTGATGTGGTCCTCTTAGTTGAAATACCCAGAGCTTCATTTCTAGGATTTAAGGCAGCCTGGTGCTGTTGCGTTGATACCTACATGTTCAAGCCTTTAGAGAATGTTGTGGTTGACTGTATGAAAAATTGCACTGATATCAAGCATAACCAGAACAGACACAAGTCTGTTATCTGAAGCCAAGAGAATATCATTTGTAACTTTCAGAACTGCAGTTTCAGTACTTTGATGAAACCTGACTGAAAGTCTTCCAACATTTAAATGCTCAAACACTTGATTATCAACTCTTATCTTAAGAATTTTAGATATGAAAGGGAGATTAAGCATAGGCTTGTGATTTATTAAGTCATCTTGATCAAAATAAGGTTTCTTAAGTAAAGGTTTAATTTCAGCTTAAAAGCCAGTGTGCCCATGTACTAAGGATAGGTTTATCACATGGGCGTAGGTTTGGGTAGGGACGGTAGGGACATGTCCCGACCAATATTCACGGGATATGAAAAAGTCCCGACCAATTTTTGCCATATTGGCTCAAAGAACGTGGATCTACGATCTTTGATTAGCAACAGGCGGTGCGCGGAACGGAAGCTTCTTAGTTTGACATTTATTATGAGCCTCCGAGACCGTGTCGGAACGGTGCTATCGGGGGGGTGGGGGGAGTCAGTTGAATCGTCGGACGTTCTTTGATTAGCTGCAAAAGGCGGCGGCTAGCTGGGCACACGCGTCTCCTTCTGAGTCTCCGAGACCATGTCGCCACCAAAAAAGAAAAGGACAGACATTAGAAGTTATTTCGCTACGTCGGCTGTAAGTACAGTGAGTGGACCCATAAGTTAGATATCTATCACGCAACGCATTTGTTGTAAAGTCCGGTGTTTAGTAAGGTCAGCACTGAATGTGAGGTAGAATAGGTCTGTTAATTATGAGCAGCAGAGCAAGGGGCAGAGCAGAACGATGGAGAGGTGGCTGGAGCTTCAGGGCTCCAGGTGAGGTGTTAGTTCTCAGATATGAAATATACAGTGTGAAATTATCTCAGTAAATATGGCATTTGAAGTGTTAGTCTTAAATTAAGTTAAGCTAGTGTGAATACAAACCAGGTTACGCTTTGTTTGCTCTATAGGAGGCAGTCAGTGTGAGTGCCAAAATGTTCGGTGCTCTTGGGCATTTCACTGTGCTGCCGGGGGGTCAAGGTCCCCACCAAGGTCCCCACCAAAACTTAGACCGAACCTACGCCCTTGGTTTATCATATCTAAAATGGAGGCAGTAATCAAAGGGAACAGTTCTTTAAATAATTTGATTGAGACAGAGTCCAACATGTTGAAGGTTTGGAAGAAGTTAAAGTTTTTGATAACTCAGAAAGCTCAACTGACTCAAAGCAGTCCAAAGACATATCAGTGTTGGGTATCAAAATTTGCATCAATGTTTGGCTTACATAATTATTAATAATTAATAATTTATTACTAATTAAGTAATTAGTATTGTTTAGGTTTCTGTAGTTGAATCAGGGCTATATCCAAGAATCTTTGGAGTCATCAGCGAGAGAGACAGAGAGAGAGAAATTAATGAACATCACAAATTATTTGAAACAAGAAGACAAAGAAAGAAATATCAGCAGAACCACAACAGCATCTAAAACCCTGCATTACTAATCAGTGTGTCCCTCCCTGCAGTGGGAGACGTCAGGAGGAAGGAGCAAAGGTGGAGGGGATCAGGTCTAGAGACACTGTTCAGATTTTGACCCACCTGCCACTTTGGAACAAAGAGTGATAAAACTCCACCATGTGCTCAGGCCTCACCTTAAGTTAAACTAAGGATCTTGGCTTGTGGCTCCACATACAGAAGCTCCTATAGTCAGTAACACATTCAGTTAAGAACCACATGTCTTCTCCATGTGTCTGCATATTGCCTGTAGTCTTAAAACAACCACACACGGCTTCTTCTGCATCCTGTAACCATCTTATATGCCAAACAGAGCAAGGCAAACAAACAACTTCATCCAAAGATTTCAATTATTTTCTTTTGGATTGAGATGACTAATAATTGTAGGTGTCACTGAGCATTAGTGCTCAGTCGACACTAATGTACAAAATATTCCCTGTATCATTTAGGGCTGAAACGATTCCTCGAATGATTCGAGTACCTCGA